GAAGAGCGTACTTATAAGAGAATTATGTTTATCACTTCAGGTTCCTCAAGATGAGTGGACTGGATACACTCCACGAGGGAAAGATGATGAGATTCCCTGCCGACGAATGCGTAGTGGCAGTTACATCAAAGCCATGGGGGATGATGACAGTGGAGACTCTGACACAAGTCCAAAACCATCTCCAAAGATTGCTGCTCGGAGAGAGAGCTATCTCAAGGCCACCCAGCCATCTCTTACAGAGCTCACCACCCTCAAGTAAGTCCATGATTTACTACATCATATACAGTTCTCCGTTAAGACATCGAGTTTCTGTTCCTGTTTGTTTCTGCTCTTTACTTCTAGGTACCAGTTAAGGAAAGTATTTAAACAAGTGTGTTTGGTCATGCTTATTTTTGGTTTGTTTGTTTTTTCTGAGCAAGAGTAGATTTGGGAATGTATTTCAGTGTAATTCTGAAAAGGGACCTTACTACCTGCAGTTTGAATTTCCACCTGTTCATGCTGAGTATTCAGGTATGTATAATAGGTTTATTCTTTAAATACTTCATTGAAGTATAGCTTGAGCCTGCGAAAGCTTTGCATAATTGTGTATTTATATATACTCAACATGTGAAATTAGCCCTAAGCTAGTCTTCGCAACTCATTAGAGAGCACCTGACATTTAATTATAAAGAACAATGACTGAAAATAGACGAATCCGTGGTTGCCACTCTTTAGTTTGCTTAGAATTATACTGAAATTTTCTGAGAAATATAACCAAAACAGATTTTTTTAATTTGTTCATGAAAGTCTTATTCAAGAGGAATGATGAATTTATCTTTCTTAATGTCACTTTGTGGTTTTCTTTTATTTGGACCTTTTCAAAGAGCCACCTAAATTCTCATTAAAATTGTACAAATGGACAGTTAGTATTAGTGTTTTATTTTAAATTATTCTAAAATGGAGAGGTCTCCTAAACGAGAAAATAAATTATTTCCATAAGAGAAAATAGTGTGGATTTAAGTCAACAATTATTTCTGCCTGTCTTCTGCAAAATTCATAGCTATAGTGGTGAATCATAGTTCAGTGTACCAAAAATAACCTGATTTTAGTAAAACTTCCCTAAGGCTGTAGCTTTAAAATGGAAAAAAAAAAAGAGCTGTATCTCCTCTTCTGTCCATGATTAGTGACAAAAGACTCCTTCTCCATTTCCCTCATTAATTTCCTCTCCTTCCTTGTCCTCCTCTGCCCCATTTTTTTCCCAGAGACCTTATCTGAGAAATAGATTTTTAGAGAAAAATGTTTGATCCTTGTTAAGAATGCCATGCTCTTGACATCAGTGATGAATAGACCAGAAGACAAAAACATGCTTATTGCAGCTCCCCATTGCAGCCTGCCTGACTTTGTCTCAGGGGAAGCCAGGAACTGCTTCCCCTCTGTCTTTCCATTAGTGTCCAAAGGAGAAAGCATTCTCATTTTCTGCAGGGTTTTTTATAAGCTGGCTGGCACTTGCTCAGGGGATCCAGTGATTCCTCTCATCATCCAGCAGACTTTACCACATGCTTTCCTGAGCCAAAACTTCTTCTCTGAGATGAGTTATTGCAACGTCTGCAAGGTGAACATAAATGTTACATACCACCACAGACCCCAGAAAGCCATGCTTTATGCATAGACACACTATCTGGCAAGGAGCTTATTCTTTTTGAGACTTTAGAAACATAGGTCCCATAGTTCCGTAATATAAATGCGAATTACGATGCATCGCAGTGAGTGTATTTGCTCTTGGTCATTTCTGTTCTCTGTAGATACGACATTTGCAAAAGAGTGTGGAACTATTAAACATAAAAAGTCCTGCATGTCACTATTCAGCAACAGAGAACGTCACATCAGAGGAGCTGGGCAGCAGATGAGTTTAGCTTTGAAGTCATTGTAATTCAGCAAATTGTATGAATACTTCATTTCAGATATGACTTTTAATCCCTTCCTATTCAGGAAAGCTTTTAGAAATGTGCTTAATTTTAAGCTCCACTCTGTAAAATTCATGTAAGTTTAGGAGCTATGCAGGAGTAAGATGTAAATCACAGGGCAGAAGAAGGAAGAGGAAAATGGTTAATGATAGTAAAACAAAAAGAAGGACAAACTGTGAAATAACTTTTATTTATTAATGAGTTTTCAGCACAAATTGGGATGAAGTAGAATTATTTCTTTTTATTTATGATGATATTTTATAGAAATATCTCTTCCTGGGAAACCTATCCACTTTCAGAGACAAATTTTATAATAAATAATTATGCATTGCTTTTATTCCTTTCTGCTGAACATGATAATTTGGTTGGGGTTTTTTGTGAGAACTAGGCATGTGCTTGCTCTGGGAATTGAAGTCTTCTGTTAAGTTAGGTCTTTTTTGCAGACCTCTTCATACCTTCTTAGTAGCATGACTTGACCTTGACCATGACATTACTTGTTCATCCCAGGGCTACCCTGATTACTGTGAGAGCTGTGATAGCGTTTTGCTGGCACGTCCACCAGAGACTAAATTAGGGCCCCTAACTCACTGAATGTAGGTCATCTAGCAATTGTGAAATGTGTGATAACAAGTTATTTCCTTGGCTTACTGTTGACTCAAGTTCAATTTGCACCTGAATAAGAGCTTTATGGAAATGAGCCAAAAACCACTCCAGTCAGCAGGCAGCCTTTTACTGAAGTTAGTGGAGTTTCTAGCTGACCTTGCAGGACATTGTTAGCACCTTAAAGCTGAGTGGTATTTCACTCCTTTACCTGTGCATTTTCTGTCGGTGAAGAACAAGGCACCTTGTGAAAGTGATGTTTCTACAGTGGTAATTTTCAGGAATCTTTGCCACTTTTTTCTGCTGCTCTTTTTCTGTTTTCTGTATGCAGTCTCTACTTGGCTTCCCTTTCTGCTCTGCTTTGGCAGAGCAAACAACTTAAAAACATGTTCCCTTTAGCTTTCACTGGTTTTTGTGAAGGGGTTTTTCATCTTGTGGGACTTTTCTTCCCGGAGTACATTAAGTCTAATATTGGTCTCACTACCCACACTGTTCTTCCCACCTACCATTGCTTATGCGCCTACTCTTCTAAGAAAGGGTTTTCATTATTACCAATGTTTATTTTTATATAAGTAACAATTTTTGAACAGCACAACTGTGTCATATCTCCTTTACATAATGCAATTTTTTTCCTGTTTTTTGCTGAGTATTTTTTTTCTTGCCACACCTTACAATCTCCCTCCTACAGTATTCCTCCCATGCCGTGGTTTCCATGTGTTTGCAGCACATGTGTCAAATGCTGTGGTACCATTCTGAATACAGCACAGCTTGCTGTGGTCTTAAAATGCACACCTCCGCTGCTACGCTTTCATTATCCTAACAGGAAGTAAGCAGCTTTTTCTCTCTGTCTTTCCTGGCAGTATCCTCTTGGTGTTTGATCTTTCACAGTCTAGATATACTGATCCAGCTGAAGAAAAAGTGACATTTTCTTGCCCATTCCTGGAAAGTGGCAAAAGTTTATCCTCCCCTTGTAAGCAGTTGGAAAATTGACTGGTTAGCTAACTACTAAAGAAGATGCAGGCAACAGGTAACTGACATTTCTGTTACAGCTGAATTTGACTGAAGACATATTCCTTCACTATCTATAAGTATTCTGGTTCTGTTTAGCCTGGTTTTCGTAGGGAAATATATAATTACATAGTCCATGTGCTAACTTGTCACCGCCACCTCCCAGCCACTTTTGAATCTGTTGGCCAACTTTAACCAAGTTTGCTAGAGAGAATGATGTCAGAAAGATATGAAGTTCCAGCAAATTTCATTAAGATCTGTAGCTGGATAAGGCAGAGAAAGATCTGCAGTTGTCCCTTACAATCTCTTGAAGGAGTATGGGCAAAGTAACTGGTGGGTCAGCACAAGCTATAACTTGATGGCAGCACTTTCCCAGCCTAAAAGATGAGGAATATGAAAAGGGCTGGAAAACTCTGTTGAGGACAAGAAGTCTAAGAGATGGATCTTGTTACCATAGTTTTTCTACTTCTTTCTGCCCCTTTCTTCTTCTCCGCTGCACACACACTCACTGCTGAAAATCTGGGTTCAGGTTCTGTTTCCTTTTCCTAACAAGTCTTTATTTTCAAGGTGTTTTAATAGACACATCATGTTTTACCAGTCAGCTGTGACTTGGAGAAACAGAATTATAAACACCACAAACACTTTTTAATGGACACCAGTTTAAGCCATTGATGATGAAAGAGTATGTGAGCATGTAATCTAAAAGCTTAGGCGTTTCTCCTTTTTATCTCATGATAAAAAATTCCTCTGTGTAACTTCCATCATAGCTGCATCTATTCCTGTGATTTACTGCTTAGATAAGTGCTATTTAAAATAAACCAAACAATTCCTAACTTTAAAGTTTATCAGAGACATTCCAAAAATAATACCTCAGAATCATATGTGCGTGTTATTTGTGCACACTCAGGCTTGTATGTCTATGTCTAAGTACTTTCTGCTTGTGTGTTTATGGGAATTTGAAGATAAAATTGTCTTGAAAACCTCTGTGCCATTTTTCTTAAAAACCTATAAAATCACAGTGAACAATCAAGCTCGATTAAGAGGTGGAATTTGGTAGCAAACTTACTAACAGTGACAAAAGCAAGAGGAAGGAAGTAGACCTAATTTATACATCCTGAATTCCACCTTCTCATCACCTGTCTTGAGAACTGATCAGGTCAGCCTTCAAGCTAGGGTCAACCTATATTACAAGTTAAATCTTGACAGAGTTGCAGGACCAGCTCTGGTAGGATGACTTGACAAAAAAATAAAAATCTAACCACCCCGTTTTGACATAGTGTAAGGTATTTCAATTCGAAAATCCCCCAATCCTTCTAAAAATCAAAGAAATTGTGGTCAAAATAGTGTTGTAATCTGCAAAGCTCCCAAATATTTTATCTAATGGTAATTTGTGGTGACCAGGAGGAATATGATATGCACACATGGTCACATCCATGTGGCTGATGGGAAGGTAAAGTGCATCATCTTCACTGAGTGAATTAATGGTGAAACAGCATATTGTCTGTTTTCAAACATAGTGCTAGGACTGATGTGACTGAAAGGATAAACAAGGTCTGAAAGCTTTTTACACTACAGAGTAAATTAAATGTTGCATGGTAAGGATGTTGTTAAATGCTATGCGCAAAGCTGGAGGTCATTATGGCTTTGATTTTCCTACAATAATGCAATGTGTGTGTTTGTGTACATAGATATATTCATGGCTTC